GGGGTGAAGGGAGTGTGGGGGTATGGGGAAAAAATGAGAACCAAGATCAGTCATGTAAAGGTACAAGATCCCAGTGATGAATGTAACTGTACTGTATACTTAAAAAGTACTGATAAACTCAATGAGAAAAAAAATTTTTGAAATCATTTGAAGAAGAACAAAAACAGTATGATTAATCCAGCTAATTAAGATGACATACAGTGCAAGGAGCTTGCTTGGAGATTGATCATCAGAAACTCAGTTTGGGACATATTGAGTTTGAGGTGCTTAGACAATGTAAGAGAAGCTCAATTTGAGAGGTCTAGGCAGGCATATATATTTTAGAAAATGGAATTCACAAATGTAAGTCACGAGAAAATTTCAAGGAGGAGGATTAGGGAAATGTGTTGCTGAAAGGCCTGGTCAAATGATTTGCTTTGTCTATAAGGTAATTGATAAGAATGAGCCTGATGATCACAGTAGATTGAGGAGGTGGTTAAGGTCCTGAAAACATGGAGAATCAGAGCTTTAAATGAAATGATGCTGCTTTGGAACTACCATACTCGGGAAAGAATGGATTTGCTTTTGCAAAGAGGTAAAAACCCTCATGTATTAAGTAGTACTCTAAGAACAGGACACAAGTCATGGAGCAAAGAGACAGCTAATTCAGGATTCCATGTATCAGTCCTGAGCATGCCTGCAAAATAGGACTAGGCACTAATGCAAGGAAATCTTTACTCAGAAGTGTAGGAACAGGGGGCACAAAAATGAAGGAATGTACAAAGCCCAGGTGGAAACATGAGTTCTGAGGAGGCTCCCAGGGAGGTGATCTAAACTTGATAAAATCCAAAGAGAATATAATTAGATACAGAATTTGGGATATGTGTGCAGGAGAAAAAAAACATAAGTATGAAGTCATTTTCTTCAAATATTAATACTAAGAGGAAGCCTATGTGGACTGTAGAAAAATGAAAACATAAATTTGAACTAACTCCAATATGTATCCCTTATAAACAGTCTGTTCTATTTTCCTGGAAAATTACTCTGCGGGATAGTCCATTAAATGGATAAATCATGGTGAACCTAACTGTTCCCTGATTGTTGAAAAGTGACATCATTTCCATTTTTACTCATATTATATTATGATTAACATTTTTGTACATGCACCCCCATTTCTATTATATTTTCATTAAATATTACAGTATATCCTTAGGACAGATAAGGTTGTATTTAATAAGTAATGTAACATAATAAGATTTATATCTTACAAAGGCAGTTCCCATAAAAAGAAAAAAGAATTAGAAATAGGGAGACTAAATAGAAACTATTAGCAATAATTCAGGTAGAAATAATAACTTTAGAACAAAAGAATTGCTAGAGCCCAAGACTATGAAAGGAAGAACTTGACAGAATAGATGTCAGCACAAATGCATGGGGGGGGGATTGGGGTAATTCCTTGATTTTTACAAGATGAATTTATTGAATTTAAAGTATGAGACATCATAAGGGAGTACTGAGAGGTTAGTCGGGACATAGTTCTAGGACACAGGAGAAACATTAAGTGGAAAGCATAGTTGTTATTTGTCTGCATATAGATGATAATTGAAACTATAATTCCTAAGATACCATTAGTCAGGAATATTATGCAGAGAAAAGAAGTCAAGAAAGGCTAGATTCCTGGGAAAATTAAAACAACATGGTAGGGCAGAGCAAAAAGAGACTCTGTTACTTTAAAGTAGAAGTCAGTTATGTATAAATATCAAAATATGGTGAGATTGGTGAAACCAAGTGAAAGAGCTTCAAAAATGGAATGACGAGTCCCAGGGTAAACAGGTCCAATGAGAAAAAGATTAGAAAACAACAGGTATCAAAATATGTTCTGACTCAGACTACTTTAGTAATTCCTGTTTCCAAATTGGATAGAATTAAATTCTCAGTGAATTACTGGGGAGGGAAATGTACATTTGATGCTTGTTTTATGCCTAAAATTCACACACGCACACACACACAAAACACATATGTATATATACACACATATATATGTATATATACACATATAGTTATATACATATATCCTGTAATTATTTTGACTATTGACTTATTTTATATATTTGGACCACATAACATATATTTGTTCTTAAAATAATGATTCAATGTTTAAAACGATGTATAAATGTAATCTTTTTAATTAGGATTAATCTTTGATTTTTTATAATATCCAGTAATATACTTGATTATAATTTCTCACTAAATGTAAAATTTGAGTTTAAAATATAATCTGGAGAACCTCATAAATACTTAATAAATGTTACTGAATTCCTCATTGGACAAATAAGTAAATCAAAGACTTTAACTTATCTAGGCACAAAAATGTCACTATGCTACACAGCCTATGAGGACTCATGTAGCTAGAGGTGATGCGATTTGAATGAATGAAATGGTAAACATGGTAATTCATCACTCATTTTGTTCCAGTTACTAAGGCAAGCATGTTACACACATTTCCTCATCTAGCAGAATCTGTACCTTCATTCTTTCTCTTCTTTCTGTTCCATAGATGAATATATCCTGTATCTCTCTAAGGCCAGCTGTTTCACTGATGGACTCGGTGGTATACTCATTGTTATTGGCTTGTGTCTAGATGTTCCCCCAACGCCTCATGCTATCATAGGTGAAGATTTTCAGAGGTTGCTGGATCTAGAGTTTGTGATGCTGGGATTAAGAGTGTGTGATTACTAAATAAGTGCACTGGTTTGGCAAAGTTCTGGGTATGGATAATGGGAAGGCCCACCCTGAATGTGGGTGGCGCCACCCAAAGGGCAAGTAGCCTGAAGGGAATAAAAGGGAGAATCAGAGTGCTGCTGCTGTTACTTTGCTATTTGCTGCCTTCTGCCTGCTACGAACTGTTTATCCGCTGGCATGCCACCCGGCCTTAGAGCCAACCATGAACTGAAACCTCTACAAACTGAGCTACAATAAACCTCCCCTCCTTTTATTTTGGGTGTCAGGTATTTTGTCTCAGCAACAAGAAAAGTAACTAAGACACTCATAAATGTTTAACACCCTACTTTTGGGGGTTAAAGAAAAAGCCCAGATTTATAGTATTGCTGATTTATATGGTGTAAATAGCTCCATTATTGCATGTTTCCAGCTATCCATATGTTACTCAATATGGAGTTAGGAAGAGATGCTAGTAACTTGCTCTTGGGAGCCTGTGTAAATGACCTGGAGAACACTATTAGATGTGTTAGGTTCCACTCTTTATTGTAACCCAAGGACATTGCTCTCAGAATTCTTACCTCTTGTCTTTGAAAGATCAGTTTCTCTCTATGGGAGCTTCTTTAGCTGCTTGTGAACACACTAAAAATGAAAGACAAAGCCTACTTAGCTCTACCTCTGTTTGCAGATAATTTGCTGGGTTTTTTTTCTCTCTGTAAAGCAAAACTTTTGAAAGAGCTGTGCATACATACTAATATATTTCTTCTCTTTTAATTCTCTCTCACAATCAGACTTGGCTCTCACCACTCCACCAAAATTACTTTTTTCAAGATCAGTAATGATCTCATGATTGCTAAGCCTAAGAACTAATTCAATATTTAATTACATATTTAAATTGAGCCAATATTTAAGCCTGCATCTCCACATTACTTAACTTATAAGCAAAATTGGACACTTAGCCTCCAACACTACCCTTTCCTCTTTCTCACCATTCCTACTGACTACTTTTCAGCATAACATGTTGGTTCTTTCTCCTCTCTTGATTTCTTAACACTGTAATACCTGAGGCCTCAGTCTAGAGACTTCTTTTCTCCATTTATACTTCCTCATTCAGAGATTTTTGTTGTATGGCTTTAAATACTATTTATAAAAGGACAACGCCTAAACTTCCAGCTCAGACCTCTCCCCTGAATTCCCAAATCAGACAGCCAAAAGACTTTTCACCATCTATACTCAAATGTTAAGTAGATACCTCTAATTTATCATGCCCAGACGTGAGCTTCTGCTCCTTCCCAGCCCATCTGCTCCACCTGTAATGTAGAACTTCCTAGCTATTGGCATCTTTTGCATTCACTCCTCAAGCCAAAAGCTTGGTAATCATCGACTCCTCTTTCTCACATTTCACATCAACATTTTAATATCTATATTCAAAGTAAAATATATCTAGCGTCTGATCACTTCTTTCCACATTCACTTTTATGACCATCTCCTACCTAGACTCACTTTCTAACTGCTTTCTAACTAACTGCTTTCACCCTTGTCACTCTAATATTTATTAGCAAAATAGACAAAGTAAATCTCTTAAAATTTAAATGTGATTATGCGCTCCCCTGCTCAAAACTCTCCAATGGTATTTTATTTCATGGTGAGTAAAGTCAGGATTCTTAGTACAAGGACCAACAATGCCCCCATGTCAAATTGGTCTCTGCAACCCTCTGATTTTATCTGTTGCCTTCCCTTCTAGTTTTTCTGCCCCAGCCACAGTAGTATCCTTGTCATTTACTAAATAAGCATAAATTTTATTGAACATTATTAACGCCTTTGTACTGGCTGTGCCCCACACCTAAAGAACTCTTCCTCTACATATTTGCCTGATTTCATCCCGTGCATTTTTCAAGATTGCTCAAATCTCAGTGGTAGCTCCTTAACCCCACAACAAAGCTCTTTCAATCTAACACCTACAAAGTACTGAAATGTCTTATTTGCTTGAATTGCAAGTTTCTTGAGGGCAGGGAATTTTTTTCTTATTTTGTTTCCCAACATATCTCCAGCACCGAGAAGTGCTGGCTTGTATCAAATAATAAGTATTTGTTAAGAGATTGAATTATATAATCTAATCCTAAAAATGCTGTGAGGTGGATGTTGTCAACTACCTTGTTACAAATTAAGAAACTCAGAAACAAATACATAAATTCACACTCAAGGAGCTGTTTAGCAGTGGAGCTCAAATTGAAATGTAGGCTAAATAGAACAACAAAAAACTATGAATGGTCTGGACTTCATTCAATTATGAACCTTTGATTACAACAGAATATGTTTTCATTATATCAAGGAAATAGTAGTTATGTATAATAATTGTGGGAATAATAATGATTTCTTTCAAAGTGTAAGGAGACTAGGAAAAAACTAATTCTAATTATTTGAAGGGTGAAAACTCAGTTTCCTTCTATTAAAAATTAATGTAAATCATCTTAATAAATCCTGCACATGTTGAGAATATTGATTAGTTAATAGGAATACTTAGGTAAAGAAAATTTCCCCTTTGAATCTGAAAGTTGAAATAGAATGTCACTTATTAAGAAGAATTTGTACTGGCCTAGTATACCTCTAAAATGTCTCACACTTAGGGTCAAATCATTAATATTTGCTTTATCCTTCTTATGATCTACTATTTCGCTATCAGATATCCAGACATTAAAAGCAATTGAAGAAAAGAATGAGTTTAAACTGTGAGAGATCTCAAACCTTGAAGAACAGAGACACACTGTGTCAAAAGGCCAGAGGTAGATCTAGAGGTGCAGAAAGAAGACCAGGGTTTTATTCATGGCATGAAGAAAAATATAATATACAAATGGGTTAGGAAGAAAAGTTAGGAGAGAGATGGAAGCTAAGGACAGTGATAGTAAGCAATGGGAAACACTGGTGTTTTCTAAAGATGTGATGTATATATGTGTAGGTGCTGATTGTAGCTGGGGAGGGAGACGAAGAGAAGTTAAAATATAAATTGTGTCAGCCCCCGAAGTTACATATTTATTTACATATTCATACTGCATCTTTGTTTACAAAAAGAATTTAAGATATAGCCAGCCAGTAGGTTGCTGCAGCCTTCTAGAATGATGAAAGCAAATCCTGAGATATGTTATGGAGAATGAGACATAGCCACTTGAAGGAAATGAGATCAGTAAAGATAAAACATACACCCATGGACTGAAAAGAAACTCAGCTGAAATCAGTCTAGGTCAGCGAATGAGGTGAATGACAAAGAAGGAGCGGGGAGAGACAGAGAATGTCAATTTGCATTACTAGAATGGAATGCTTGATACATTTCAAGCCATAAGTATATGTATTGATTGTCCTGGTAATACAGACTTCAACACATTTGGGTGATCATGGTCCATATTTGTTATTGTTTGTACAGAATGGTTTATGTTATGCAGTAGCTGATAAAACCTAAGCTGTCATAGTGGAAAGAGATGTAGAGAATAGGCAAACTGACAATGCTGAGCTATCTTATTCCATTCAGATCTGCTAATATGTTTAATTTAAACTACTGGACTGTATAGTGATGTAGAGTGATGCAAAATGCTCCATCGACCATACTAAAATGTCTACTGTGGTTCATACAAGGCTGTCACGGTATATTCCAGGATGTCAAGGCAAAAGTCTATTATAGTGCATACAGGCATAGAGATCTGGAACCATCACTGTTTATACTGGTTGTTCTGATACATTCTGAAATACTTTGGGCTGTTACAGAAAATATATCTGTCATGATATATGAGAGCTGGACACATTGGTCCTCCACAGTGTTAAATGGTTCTCAAGGTTTATAAAAAGTAAAATGTTGTAGTATCATCTATATAATTTATCATCACGGTATATGTGGACTATAGAGTGAGGCTTTCACAATGTACATGGACTACCATAGCCATACTCACTAATATACTTTGCGTTGCTATGGCATATATAGGGCCACGATAGTACACGTAGACAAACATGTTGACCTGCTTTCATTTCAACAAGATTGCATGTTGACCCAAATTAATAGTCATAGTGCTTATGGATTCCAGCATGCAGACAATTAACAAGTAAACTAGCCAAACTATCTTCCTGTTTTATGTCCTGATGATGTCTCTAGCACCTACATCAAACAACCATAGAGTTCTAATAATGTATTTAGCTCAAGTTGAGTCATAAGGTGCACACTTAAATTGAAAATCTCTCCATTTCAAAGAAAGTACCTAAATAGTTGAACAATTGTTTTTCTTTTCCCAATACATATGAGGAATATTTTGGTTTTCATTTCTTCTTCAGTCACTGGATTTCTACATTTTTTTACTTAACTACACAGATGGCAATAAACATACTTTGTTTTTGCTAACAGATAATTTGGTTTTCTACACCTAGAGTATACACTGCTTACTCCACTAAATTGTAGTATCAATCTCTCATTTTTCAAGGCTAAATATATTTTAGTATTTAAAGAAATCATCAATAATTCTAAAAAATTTAATGGTCAAAATAAGGCAAAAGAATATATATTTTACATATGTAAACATTAAGATATGGACTGAATATGAGAAAATGTGTAATAATGTAATATCACTTGGCTTATATAATTGATGCCTTATGAGAATCAAATACAATGCAATGAGACAAACAATACAAATTATAATATCGCATCTAATGAAGTTTCTGACAACTTGATCTCACATTCTGTCAGCATGACCATTGGATGTGCTGAAATGTGCCTGCAGCACTTACACCTCTATTTTGGTGGTAAAAGTCTGGGTTCTAAAAATAAGTGCACCTGGGAAAATTGGATAGCCAAATACAAAAGTATGAAACTAGACCTCTAACTTTCACCAGTTACAAAAATCAGTTCAAAATGGATCTTAAATATAAGACCTGAAACCATAAAATTGTAGGAAAAATAAAAACAGTGGAAAGACTTCAGAACATTGGCATAAGCAAAGGTTTTCTGAATAAGACCTCAAAAAGCACAGAAAAGAAAAAAATTAGATAAATAGGACTACATAAAGCTAAGAAAACTTCTTCACAGCAAAAGAAATAATCATCAGAGCAAAAGACAATTTACAGAATGGAAGAAAAAACTTGCAAGCTATTCATTCTAGAAGGTATTAATACCCAGAATATATAAAGAAGTCAAACAGCTCAACAGATAACAAGAACAAATAACCCAATTTTAACATAGGTAAATGATCTGAATAGACGGTTTTTGAAAGAAGAAATACAAATGGGCAATAAGTATACAAAACATGCTGACTAATCACTAAACGTTAGAGAAATGTAAATTAAAATCACAGAAATATCTTCTCACACAGGTTAAAGCAGCTATTATTAAAAAAAGAACAAATGCTGGCAAGGATAAAGAGGAATGCTTGCACACTTGGTGAGAATGTATATTACACAGCCATTAGAGAAAACAATATTGAGAGTTTCTCAAAAATGACTAATGGATCTACTAGATGATCCAGGCATTCTGTTATGCGATGTATACCCATGGGAAGGAAATCATATGTACACTCCACATGTTTATCACAATATTAAATCAGCTTATGCGTCTATAGACAGACAAATGCATAAAGAATATGCATATATCTGCAGGGGAATATTAGTCAACCATAAAAATAGAATGAAATCCAGTCATTTGCAACATCACGGATGGAATTGGAGAACTGTGCCAAGTGAAATAAGCCAGGCAAAGAAAGACGAATATCACGTTCTCACCAATATGTAGAAACTAAACCAAAAATCTGATTGCATATAGACAATAAAATTAAAAATAGCTAGAAAAGAAGATTGAATATTCTCAACATAAAGAAGCAACAAATGTTTGAGAGAATGAATATGCTAATTAGCTTGATTTGAACATTATACATTGTATACTAGTATCAAAATATCACGTTGTTGACCATAAGTACATACAATTATTATATGTCAAGTTTTTAACAAAGCACACCCTATCTAGCAGCAATCTAGGAACCAGCAGTAAGTAGGGGATGAGAGTGCCAAATGTGACCAGTGCCATGGGAACCATGTGAATAAAGCCAGTCAAGGCTGCTGAAGTACAGGTGCACTGTGGAAAAACTTATTTGGAACTGGATATGAATTGTAAAGTGATAGAAAAATTGCACAGATTACTTTATTGTTTTATGTCATACATTTTCTATTTGTAAGCATTCTCAAGCTTACTAAAAAATTAGTGAGTATAATACAAAAAACACTCAGAGTACATTACTAACTTGAGCCTTCATCACACCCCTAAGTCTTTAGTCCATGTTTCATACAGCCAAGGATATAGTCTCAATCTCAGTGATACAGATACATGAACTAAAAACTAATGTAGCACAATCATATTGTCTAAGCCTCAGACCTCCTTTAAGGTTTTCCAATTGTTTCAGTTAGGATTATGTGTTACACATACTTGTACTTAAGAGTCATGTTTCCTTTATTTTCTTTTAATCTAGAACAGTCCCACAGTCCTTAACTTTCATGAATTTTAAAGATTACAGACAAGTTATTATGACTCCATTTTGATCATGTCTCCTCATAATCAGTCTCAAATTACATGATTTGCCAAATTATTTCACAAAATAATGCTATTTTGTTATTGAGGCCCAACTCAGAGCTTTATTTTGTCTCATTATTGATGATATTCACTTTGATCATTTGTTGAGGATAGTTTAGATCACCCTTCTTTACTATAAGCTTTCATTTTTTCCTTTAAAATTATTAAGTATATTGTGGAAAGGTTATTTGAAACAGCATAAATATCCCAATACTCATCAAGCTTTATTTATACCATAACCAACTATTGTTTCCTATTTTACTTGATGGATCATAGTCCTTACTCTTAGTTTATTATGATGCTCAAATATGATGATCTTCACAATGGTTCCTGTGTCCTTTCATGTGTCTCATCATTCTTGGAGCACTTTTTCTATCTGGTAGTTAGAAGCATGTGCTCTTTCCTACTGAAGTGAGGCCTGATACTGAGGCCTCAGTAGACGAAGCCAAAGATACATGTATTCATACACAATTACTTCTGTATTTTAAAGTCTACATTTATAGAAATCCATGAATTCATACCATTATCTCCAGTTCTAATCTAACATCATACATTAGTCCTAGTTTTCTCTTACCTCTGTGGATGCTCTTCTTGCTCTGGTTGCATGCCAGACAAGACCTCTGTGTGGATAGTCTCTAACTTCCCATGCCAGACTGGCCCTCTACGCCAATGCCCTTCATACCCTGCTCTGCTACTGACACTTCATACCAAGATGCTTCTACACATGGATGCCCTATTCACCCTACTTCCACTCTGGCACCCAGACATTTATTCTTGTCTAAGTTGCACAATTGGGACGTTAAATATTTGAGATATTCTGATTATGATGATCATAAAGAAGGGAATTCCGAATTTCTGTCTGTGCTGGGAAGTGCCATAGAAGGAAAATGTATGGCTAATGTAGAAATTTGCAAATACCTCCACTAATAACTACATTTGATTATAAAATACATGTTGAGAACATACTGTGGGTTAAGGGTTAGGGGATCTCTTTACTCATAAAAGCAACTTTTATGAGTCTTTTTTATGAAGGCCTTTTTAAAATTAGATTCCTGTTATATATAGTACATGTTCAAATGATGTTTATTGAATAAAGTGACTGGCATGGACATTGAATCAATGCTTAGTTCGTGATGCCTTCTCTGTTCTAGGCTCCCTGGCAAGTACAAAGAGAATATGGCACTAAGTAAAGCATATTTCTAGGACTCTAGAAGATAATTTAGAGGTAGATATAAACATGTAAGTAACTACACTGTAATACAAAATATGTATCATGATAAATGTGATAAAGAAATACAAAAAATTTAGTAATAGTCTCTTGGATAAAGGGTCATTTGAACTGACTAAGGAAGAGCTATGTAAGCTTTTCATGGGTGGTGAAAGCAAAGGAAATTGTTCTGATTGTTATAGGAGGAACAAGGTATGAAATGAACCCACCACCCCCAAAAAAAGAAAAAGGAAAAGAAAAAAGTACAAATACTTACCTTCAGGAACACTGCATAAAAGAAAGTGGCAGGAGATAAGCCTGGAAATAAAGGATAAAACAGGATATAATTCCTACAACATTAGTTTAGCAATCAGATTAGTTTGGTATCAGTGAATGAAATTAACTGATCAGATATTAAAAACAGCCAAATAAATTAAAACTAATTTACTGAAAGATGTCTATGAGTTAAAGATACCAAGGGTCCTAATTGTGAGTCAAAGAGCTTCACAAAGAGAATAACCAGTGATCTTGCTTAGAGGGAGGTACAAAAAAAGGTAAGCAGAATCATGATTCGGATTGGTGACTTGTCATATTTGATAACAAATACTAATATTAATAAGGAGATTGCAACCATCTGCTATGGTTTGGGTATGGTTAAAATGTAGTCCCCAAATCCTGTCTTGGAAGCTTGGTGTTCAGTATGGCATTATTAGAAAGTATGTGGAATCTTTAAGAAGTGAGGCCTAATGGGAAGTTCTTGGGTCTCTGAAAGCACAGCTCTCAGTATGGATTAAGGTAGTTCTCCAGGGCCCATGATAGTTCTTCACATAGGATTATGTCCTGCACAGGTTGGCCCTACCAAGATCTCTAGTTTTCTTCTGGCAAAATGCTCACTTGTTCTGACATGTGTTCCCATCACTGTCATGCACTCATACAACCCAACAGGAACCTCCAGAGAGCCTGCATCAATTTTTTTGGATACTCAGCCTCCAAAACTGTCAGCTAAATAAATTTTTTCTTTATACAGTTATCTTGCAGCAGGTATTTCGTTATAGTAATGAAAAGAAGACTAATACAACACCCTATGTTGTTATCCTATGATGAAATTTTTTAAATTGTCTATATTCTCAGAGAAATTAAAGAGGATGTATGATTTTTGGTCAAAAGATCAATAGGGATTGAAATGTGAAAAGGACACTAGTCTAATCCAATAAAGAAGAGGGGAGAGGGTCACACTAGAGGTTGATTTGACTAGTTGATTATTCATTTTATTTTGAAGCATATGCCAAAACAACAAATCCCCAATTTGAATGATTTAACAAAATAAATAATTTCTCCTTCAAATATCAGTCTAGCGCAAATATTTCTGGTTGTCATCTGTTATTTTTTTTCTTTTTATTGAGTTTATTGGTACAATCTAGGTATACAATACAATTACATTCATCATTGGGATTCTGTACCTTTACATAATAGGTCTTGATTCTCATTTTTTCCCCCTTCTCCCTGCCCTCCCTTCACCCCCTCCTCCCCTCCCCATTTACAAACACTTTATTTCCATTTTTTCAGTTTCTCATATTTTTTTCCTCTCCCTTATTACCTTTCCCCCACCCTTCCCACTTTCCTTACACCTTTAGCCCTTTACTTCCTATTTCACATTATTAATTATCACATTAGGATCCTGTGTACTCTTATAGTTTTTCACACCAAAGTAACTATTCGGTATTTCAGTTAAAGAAATCTCTGTATGAACATTAAAAATAGGGAATCCTAAAATAAAACTAAAAAGGAAAGTAAAATAGAAAAGGCAATGATGTAACATTAAAATAATCCTAAATTCTGGAGATGAAAATGGTCCCTGAACATATTAAAATTGCTTCTCGCTCTTATAGTCTTATCTTATTTTTTTCATTATTTAGAGAATACTTTATTAGTTTCTGTAATCAAACCCACGTAGATATGACCTTACATATTTAGTACGATGTGTTACCCCTGTAAAAAAATGGAAAAAAATAAAAAATGAAAATAAAAATAAATTAACATTTCTAGACCAATATGGTTGTCCATTCCTGTACAATGTTAACTCAACACAGTAAATTGGGATGACCTTTTCCAAAGTTGACAGCACCGTTAGTTTCCCAAAATTGAATTTATATATACATATATATATATGTATATGTATATGTATATATA